TAACTATACACTAAACATTATAGTCTAGGCTAATTTGCAATGCCAACCCTAATTGAGTTTTTAGTAACTTGAAAATAAAACCATTTAAAATACAGCTATAAATGAATAAAATATTACAATATTAAGACAATTACTAAAACAAACCTAAAAACAGATCATAAAAATATCATTAAAAAGGTGGTGATTAAGACCTCTCCTTCAGAAAATGGTTCCAGTAAGAGTGTAAAAAAGATGATAAATACAACAACAAATTTTTACCTGAAATATTTGAAGCGTTGTTGTATCCAAACAAATTCATCTAATTGTTCCTCCTCATATTCTCATAATTTAGAAGCTGTTGCATGCGAATGTATTGTAGTGTTTTTTTTAGATCATTAAAATAGTTGCTCATTAATTTTCTACTAATTGTCTGAGATTTAATTTGTTTTTTATGTCGCCTGTTGCCTCATTATTTAACATTTGCAAATGCTCTGATAATTATTTGTTATTGTCTTTTAATMCGCTTCAGATTTTCTGAATTGTTGAATAATTGAGATGTTAATTGGAGGATTTCAAATCTGTTAGCTGACTCTTAAATCATACAAAGTTGACTTTACTTATTTTGTCAGAGTGAAGCTTAAATATATTCAATTAGTAAGCATGCATGGCAAAAGAAAAGTCAGCAAATTCTTAACTTGTACAGCTTTAAATACCTAATTAAATTATAAATTTTCTAATTAGATTTTGGGATTTAATTTCATTTTTATTGATTTTAGACCATTTTTTTAGACCACCGTTCTGCAGCTTTCTTGTTTTTATTGCTCTGGTTTATTTATTTATTTATTTATTTATTTATTTATTTATTTTTTGGTATTTCTCTCATTCCTGGCAAACAATCCTAGCATTCCTCTTTGGCTCTCTGTCGTTTTGATTTTTACGTTTTGTTTATCTGATTGTGGCGTACCCCTGAGAGGGAGGGCGTGCTAATGATCAGAGTGACACCCCCGGCTGCTCGCTGTTGATGGAGTCTCGGGTTTAGGGGTATTACTGTCACAGAATGGCCAGGCATCATGCCAGGCCGAGGTGTGTGTGTGTGTGTGTGTGTGTGTGTGTGTGTGTGTGTGTGTGTGTGTGTGTGTGTGTGTGTGAGAGAGAGAGAGAGAACCACCAGAGTGCCAAACGAGCTCATCTCAGTCCCGTCCCATCTAATCCCCCCCACCCAGCCTCCGCTCACGAGCTGCTCAGTGCCAGGGCCAAATCCCCACATTCTTCAACCCTTTCCTGGACATAAAGTGCCTTTCTGTCCCCACACCCCCCACCTCTTGTTCCTCTTCTGTAGCCAGTCTTCATAGCCTCTTCACTTCCATAATCACAGTGTCATTTGCGTGATCCACTCCTCTCATTGTTCACTGCAGGCAGAAGTAGCCCAGTAATGCGGCCCTTTTCTGGACAAATCTTTTGAGATCTGTCGGCTCGGGCATCAAATTACTCTCATTTTACTGGGAGCGTCTAAACATCAGAGCAGCTTTGCATCCTTTGCATCTGTGTAGGCCCTCTCCTCGTCAGTCCTCACACTTCAACAAAAATATTTAGATATTTTAAAATGGAATTGGTGAATGAAATAGTTC